ACAGGGGGAGGGACATAAGTGGGAGGAGCACAGGGGGAGGGGCACTTACCTTGACGTACTGGTTTTCCTGGATGTTGGTGCCCTTCACCCGCAGTTGGCAGGCCTGGGAGTCGAAATCGATGGTCTCCACCCGGATGGTGAGCGTGGTCCGGACCCGACTGCTGCCCACACTGCCCGTAGAGGACTCCATCTGCACCTTCCTGTAATCACCCCGCCGGGGACACAGCGAGGGTATCATTACCCATAATAACTACCCCCTCCTCCCCAACACAGCTCCGCCCCCTCCTCCCCAACACAGCTCCGCCCCCTCCTCAGCCCCTTCCCCAACACAGACTCAGCTCCGCCCCTTCCCCAACACAGACTCAGCTCCGCCCCTTCCCCAACACAGACTCAGCTCCGCCCCTTCCCCAACACAGACTCAGCTCCGCCCCTTCCCCAACACAGACTCAGCTCCGCCCCTTCCCCAACACAGACTCAGCTCCGCCCCTTCCCCAACACAGACTCAGCTCCGCCCCTTCCCCAACACAGACTCAGCTCCGCCCCTTCCCCAACACAGACTCAGCTCCGCCCCTTCCCCAACACAGACTCAGCTCCGCCCCTTCCCCAACACAGACTCAGCTCCGCCCCTTCCCCAACACAGACTCAGCTCCGCCCCTTCCCCAACACAGACTCAGCTCCGCCCCTTCCCCAACACAGACTCAGCTCCGCCCCTTCCCCAACACAGACTCAGCTCCGCCCCTTCCCCAACACAGACTCAGCTCCGCCCCTTCCCCAACACAGACTCAGCTCCGCCCCTTCCCCAACACAGACTCAGCTCCGCCCCTTCCCCAACACAGACTCAGCTCCGCCCCTTCCCCAACACAGACTCAGCTCCGCCCCTTCCCCAACACAGACTCAGCTCCGCCCCTTCCCCAACACAGACTCAGCTCCGCCCCTTCCCCAACACAGACTCAGCTCCGCCCCTTCCCCAACACAGACTCAGCTCCGCCCCTTCCCCAACACAGACTCAGCTCCGCCCCTTCCCCAACACAGACTCAGCTCCGCCCCTTCCCCAACACAGACTCAGCTCCGCCCCTTCCCCAACACAGACTCAGCTCCGCCCCTTCCCCAACACAGACTCAGCTCCGCCCCTTCCCCAACACAGACTCAGCTCCGCCCCTTCCCCAACACAGACTCAGCTCCGCCCCTTCCCCAACACAGACTCAGCTCCGCCCCTTCCCCAACACAAACTCGGTCAGCCCCTTCCCTCCTCTCCAAAACAGCTCCGCCCTCTCATCTCCAACACATACATAGCTCCTCCCCTTCCTCTCCAGACACAGCTCCTCCCCCTCCTCTCCTACTGAGCTCCCCTTCCCCCCTCTCCAACACAGCTCCGCCCTCTCATC